AGACAGAGCCAGGTATGGCGGTACCCCCCTGTAATCCCAGTGTCAGGATGATCACAGGTTTAAAGCCAGCCTCAGCAATTTAGTGAGACCCCATCTCAAAATAAAAAATAAAAAGGGACTGGGGGCAAGGCTTAGTGGTTAAGTGCCCCTGAGTTCAATCCTTGGTACCAAAAAAAAAAAAAAAGAAAAAGAAGGTCAAATTAATATTGGGGGACACCTCCTACAGAGATCACCAGTGTTCTTGGTTCCTTAAAAACCCACAAAGTTTTTATCTCTTCTGATTCAGCCTTGGAAGCAGGTTGTTGCCAAAGAAGAGATATAGTGGGCATGGGGGAAATATCTACCAGGAAAATGCTTCAGAAAATGTGACTAGGACTTGTTTAGATTCAATGATTTCTAAAATCCATTTTCACTCTTACACCATTTCAAGAAGGGCATGGGGATGTTGTGCCTCTTCCTCTGTCCTAACTTGGGGCACAGAAAAGGAAGTTCTTGGGACAGATTACAGAGGTGAATTTGATAGTACAGTTTTCTTTAAAGAATAGACTTTCAGTGCTGCCGTTCTCCTGTCATAGCCCAGTTCTGCTAAACAAGAAGGGTGAAGTCATTTCCTTCAGACTGCAGACCCACATTCTATATGCTGCCTAGCAACCCCATCTTGCAGCTGTGCTGGGCAGAGTAGTCCAGAGCAGCTAATCCACTGCTGAAGCTGGGTTGAGTGCGCACTGTATGCAGGGAACCAGGGCTGGCTGCTTTGGAGGAGCTTATAGAGGTAGAAGGGGTATCCAACAGAAGGCTGTGCCTGCTGACCCCTTTCTCTCAGCCAGAAGACTGACCTTATCTTTAACGAAGGACTTCCTGTTCACCAGTAATTACTTGGTCGAGCAAGAGGCTTCAGTTCCGAGTCAGCAGATGGGACAATGAGTCATGATGTATATGGTAACTGTCTTTGCTCATGTACCAGGCTGGGCTTTGGATAGGAAAAAAAAAAAAAATAGGGCTTGGGGTTGGGATGTAGCTGAATGGTAAAATGCTTGACTAGCATGTGTGAGGCCCTGGTTTCATTCCAATAAATGCAAATAAATAAATAAATAGAGTAGGGCTTCCAGAGATGGTTGATTTTTATGCACTTAATAGCATTGATGCAGTGTGATTTGGGGTGAACAGCATTGTGGTATGTTTGCATTTCTCAGGACAGGGAAGGCAGAAACATGGTACAAAAATGACTGTGGGAAGTTGGGAACTCAAAGTGGACTTTGTACCTTTTAATCACAGTGATGTCAGGATGAGAGAAGAATATGAAGAACAGGAAGAGTCCTGTCACCCTTTAGTGACAAATGAACAGTGTGCATGTCCATGTTTACCCATCATTTCCCCAAGTTTTAAATAAGGGGGTAATGATGACTTGCTCAACTCAAAAGGATTCACAAAATGAAGAATTGGACTGTGAGCCTTGCAAAAGCCGTCTGCCTTTGATTCCTCTCTGAGGCCCCTTGGCTCTTGGTGTAGCACCTGCACACACACAGTAACTCTTCAGTGAGTGTTGTTAGATTCAATTACAGACTAAAAATTTAAAAATAGGGTCATGCTTGGTAGTGCATGCCTGTAATCCCAGCGTCTCAGGAGGCTAAGGCAGGAGGATCGCAAGTTCAAAGTCAGCCTCAGCAATTTAAATAGGCCTCAAGCAACTCAGTGAGACCCTACCTCTAAATAAAATATAAAAAAGGCTGGAGATTGTGGCTCAGTGGTTGAGTGCCCCTGGGTTCAATCCCTGGTACCCAAACAGGACAACAATAGAAACTGGGAATGTGTAGCTCTGTGGGAGAGCACTTGCCTAGCATATACAAGGTCCTGGGTTCAATCCCCAGCATGGCAAAAACGACAAACCAAAACAACCCTGAAATTGCCTGGTTCACTTTACTTATAAGGAAACAAAGACCCAGTAAGGAACAGGGACTTGCCTAAGGTCACCCGGGACAGCTGGTGAGATTAAACCTGGAAGGTGCCCAGGATCTGACACATGCTCTGCCTTCAATCAGCATTAGTACCTTTCCTTTCTAAGTGGCAGTACTAAGACTATCATCCAATCTTTGCCCTCTGACACCTCTGCTCTTGCCCCTCCCCGTAATGCCTCTGAGTTGCTTAACTGAAATCAGACAGTTCGTCAAGGTAAAATGGGATTAGTTAGCAGGAGCCTCGTTGCCAACAGCTTGCCTACCAACCTGCCCCTCTGCCATGGATCAAGTACCAAGGTTCAAGAGCAGGGATCTGGAGCCAGACTACCTGGTTTGGAATCCCAGTTCTCTCACTGTTATTGTTTGGATCTTAAATGTCTCCCAAAGGCCATGGTGTTAAAAGCTTGGCCTGTGGTGCTACTGGGAGATGGCAGAACCTTTAGGAGGTGGGGCCTCCGGATACCAAGATAGGTCATGGCAAGTGGCCCTCAAAGAGGATATTGAAACCCTGGTCCCTTGCTCTCTCCTTTTTCTTCCTGGCTACCATGAGGTGAGAAGCTTTTCCCTAACACACACTTTCCACCCTGATGTTCTCTTTACCCTAGGCCTAAAGTAGCTGTAGGCCCAAAGAGACAGGGTCAAGTGACCATGGACCAAAATCTCTGAGACTGTGAGCCCCAGTAAATCTTTCCTCCTTCAAATTAACTGTATCAGGTGTTATCTTGACAGAAAGCTGACTAACACAGTCACAACTAGCTATGTGACCTCATTGAATCTCTTTATTCCTCAGCTTTCTCATCTGTAACATGGTGACTAGAATCTTATTTAATCTCATAGGGTTGTTGTGAGAATTAAATGAGTTAAAATATGTACTTAGAAAAGTGCCTGGCAGGTAGCAAGCAATTATTAAATGTCTGCAACTTTTTTAGGCTACTTTTTGGCTTTTATTGCTGTAACAGTGGCTCTAGAGGCAAAAACTGGCCATCTTCATAAGGACAGTCATTCAATGATGGTAGAATTTAATACTGAATAGGATAATATTTCTATAGATTCATTCATTTATTTATGTAATATTGGAGATTGAACCTAGGGGCGCTTAACAACTGAGCCATATGCCCAGCCCTATTTATTTTTTATTTTGAGAAAGGGTCCTTTATTGCTTAGGACCTCGCTTAGTTGCTGAGGCTGGCTTTGAACTCACGATCCTCCTACCTCAGGCTCCCAAGCCGCTGGGATTACAGGCATGTACCACCACACCCAAGTCACTGGATGTTATGGTTTAGATATGAGGTGTCTCCCAAAAACTCATGTGTGAGACAATACAAGAATGTTCAAAAGTGTAATGATTGAGTTATGAGGGGCTTAACCTAATCAGCATATTAATCTTCTGAATGGATTTACTAGGTGGTAACTCGAAGCAGGTAGGGTGTGGTGGGAGCTGGTGGGTCTTTGGAGGTATGCCTTTGGGGCTTATATTCTGTTCTTGTTGAGTAGAGCTGTCTCTGCTTCCTGATTGTTGTGTCCTGAGCTGCTTTCCTCCACCACACCTTTCTACCATAATGTTCTGCTCTATCTTGGGCCCAGAGCAATGGAGTCATTCGACTAGGAACTGAGACCTCTGAAACCAGGAGCCCCAAATAAACTTTTCCTCTCTTAAGTTGTTCTTCTCAGGTCTTTTGGCCATAGCAGCAAAAAAGCTGACTAAAACACTAGGATTTCAGTTGTGCCCCACTGTGCCTGGCTCCTAGCGATGGTTTAAAGGACTGGGGACTCTATCATGTAAGGTTTTGGAAGGCTGAGGTATTTTCTCTTTTTGGACTGAGTACAGAACCAACCGTGTGACTGGTGGACAATTAGAAGGGGGTGACCAATAATTGGTGGGAAGATCAAAACCTTGACTATCCATCCTTCAGGCACAGGACACTGAGTGCTGGGATGGGACACCAACTATCCACAAATACATTTCCTTTTTCCTTTAAAATCTTTACAATCGCAGCTTCCATTCAAATTTGCTCAGCATTGGAAAATCAATGGAACCCCTAGCACAAAGAGGATGGCTGGATGCCAAAGGACTGGAGCCAGGAAAAGTATGGTGAGAGGCAACCTTGTTCCTGCCAAGAATGGGGATGTGATTTCCTATCCCCACCCCCGCAGTGGGCCCCCCAACCTCCTCTCATTCCTTTTCCTCTTCCACCCCCCAGTCCTACGGGCCACAGGTTTCTGCCTGAAAAAGCAATTAGGAGCTGCTAACTCAGGATATTTCCTCTTGACCTACTTCCTGAGTGCAGGGGCAGAATGCTTGCGCTGCTGAGAAGGGTAGCATTAGCTCAGCATTCCCCTGGCCAGGCGTCATGCCGGATGCTGACTGTCAGTCACTCACAGCCAATTGCCACACCTGAGAGGTGGCTTTTCTTAATGGTTTCCATGTTGACACCTGGGCTAACTGACCTGACAGGTTCCTGGAGCAAAACTGATATAAATGTGATATAAACGTGCTTTCTGCTGCCTGGGTTTTGTGCTTGTTTTTGTAATTTGGTGCAGGGCTATCATTTGCTAAGGTCCTAGGAACTCTTCCCGAGACTGTAATTCTAAAGTAATCTGCATTCAATCATCCCGATAATCGTCATCATCATCATCATTGTCATCACATGAATACCTTAAAAAGTCTATGTGATCAGTATTTTACGATTATCTCTAATACACCACAGTTCCCTCCCTTGCAAGGTAGATATATGAGAACAGTGCTTCTCAGACAATAATGTGCATGGAAATCTGGGGGTGGCCGGGGGTGATTCTTGTTAAAGTGCAAATTCTGCACTTTAGCTCAGCAGTGGAGCATTTGCCTAATTTGTCCAAGACCCTGGTTTGGGTCCCTAGCATGCAAAAACAAAGCAAAACAAAAATGCAGATCCTGGTGGAGTATGTCTGAGGCCTGAGATTTGGCATTTCTAACAAGCTTTAATGCTTGAGACTGCTGGTTCTAATTGCCTGTGTAACAAAGGTACTGGAAGGAATCTTGGTTACAGTGACTGAGATATACTGTGAACCAGTTAAGCAAGGAGTTTATTACAAGGAGATGGGCGTCTCACAAAGCTGAAGGACAGGATTGCAGCTGGGCCTCAGGAAGTGGAGGCAGGGATTCCAATGCCTGTCTTGATCTATTGACTTCTCTTTCCATGCACTTAATTCAGTGCTGTGTTCCCCTTCCCTTCCCACATTCCTTTTTTCCTTCCCCCTCTGTTCTGCTTGGTGCCAAGGCAACTCTACCCACAGACCTGGGAATTGCATTTCTGCCTCATCCTTGATTTACTTTCTGTTTCCAGTGGTGCCACTCTTCTGATAATTCCCTATGAAAGCGAGCAAAGAAATACAATGCCTGAGTAGTAACATGACTGATATCATATTTATACTGCTTGAGCATGTGGCTGAGTATTTGTTATACCCAGTGCCACTCAATTTTCTATTCTCATGTCTGAAAGCTTGTAGATTCTTCTGTCTGACCTCCAGTTCTGAGAGTCACTATGCCTTGTGCTTTAGAATGGGCATATCTTTTCTCATTTATATACTTGTCAAACCCTTTTGACTTGGAAATTAATATCCTCTTGTTATGGTTTGGATAAACTTCACTGTTAATGCAGGAATATTAAGAGATAAAATTATTAGATTATGAGAACTGTAACCTTATCAGTCCATCGTAGTGTAAATGGACTAACCAGATGGTAATTGTAGGTAGGTGGGACATGGGTGGAGGAGGCGGGTCACTGGGGGTGTGTCCTAGAAGGGTTCATTTTCCCTGTGTTCCCTTTGTCATTGTACCCCCCCCACCCCCAACCCTGTCTTCCTGATCCACATGAGGTGAGCAGATTCCCTCCACCATGCCCTTCTGCCATGATGCTTTGCCTTGCCTTGGCCCCAGAGTCATGGACTCCTCTGTCTGAGACTTCAGAAACCATAAGTCAAAGTAAACTTTTCTTCCTCTAAATTGTTCACTGTCAGATATTTTGGCCGCAATGATGTAAAACTAACTAACAAATATCTGCTCTAGAAAAAGTAATTCTGAACTGTTCATTTAATTTTTTTCTTTCCTTCTCTTTTCTCTGTTCAATCTAGCTGGAGCCTGTTGTTTGTATGTCAGCTCTCCTGAACAGAATTCTTAATTTTCTTGTTTTTCATATTTAATTTTCCATCCCTTTTTTTCTCTTTATTTTACTTTCTGTGATTTTATAAACTTGTTTGTAACTATTTGGGGTAAGTTTTTAATTTTCATACTACATATGTGTGTGTGTGTGTGTATGTGTGTGTGTGTGTGTGTGTGTGTGTTGGTACCAGGGATTGAACCCAGGGGCACTTAACCACTGAGCCACATCCCCAGCCCTTTTTATTTTTTATTTTGAGACAGGGTCTCACTAAGTTGCTTAGGGCCTCGCTAAGTAGCCAAGGTTGACCTGGAGTTTGTGATCCTCCAGCCTCAGCCTCCTAAGTCACTGGGATTACAGGACTATACCACTGTGAATATTCCTTTTTAAAACAGGATATTGTTTTTTATTTCATTTCCTTTCCTAATCTCTTTTTTAAAAATTCTTTTTCTTATTTTCTCCCTGATTTCTCTCTTTCCTCTTTTTTTCCTTTAATATTTTTTTAGTTGTTGATGGACCTTTATTTAATTAATTTATATGTAGTGCTAAGAATCGAACCCACTGCCTCACACATGCTAGGCAAGCATTCTACCACTGAGCCACAACCCCAGTCCCTCTTATTTCTTATTTTGGTCTATCACATAGGATTGCTATGTATATTCAAGAGCAAGGCATGATTTGGGCACAGTGGTACACTCCTGTAATCCCAGTAGCTCAGGGGGCTAAGGCAGCAGAATTGTGAGTGCAAAGCCAACCTCAGGCATGGAGATAGGAAAGATGGTGGAAGGAGATGGACATCATTATCCTAGATACATGTATGATTGTATGAATGGCATGACCTTACTTTGTGAACAACCAGAGAAGTGAAAAATTGTGCTACATTTGTGTAAAATGAATTGAAGAGCATTCTGCTGTCATGTATAACTGATTAGAAAAAATAGATTTAAAAAAAGAAAAGAAAAGAAAAAGCCAGCCCTCAGCAAAAGCGAGGTGAGACCCTGTCTTTAAACCCTGTTTATACTTTTTAAAATTTAAAAACTCAGTGAGACCCTGTCTCTAAATAAAACACAAAATAGGTCTGGGGATGTGGTGCAGTGTTTAAGCACCCCTGGGTTCAATCCCTGATGGGGGAAAAAAAAAAAGAATGAGGCACAAAAAAAATCTACTGGAGGGGGAACTAAGTCATGAAGGATAGTTAAGGAGAGTGGACGTCTTCATTGTACCTTTTGAATCTTCTGAATTCTGAATCATATTAATATAAAACCTATTCAAAACATCTTTTTATTTTAAGTTTTATGCATTGGGGAGATTCACTGTGGAGATGTATGGAGGAGCTAAGTCAATTTCTTTGCTGAGGGAACTCCAAATGTCCATGTTTAAATGTCTTCTCTCTAGGCCACTTAGTCTTCCCTGATCGGAATCTTCTAGACTCCTGACTGGGGATCTGTACTGGAGGAGGGTGGAAGCCTGGCTGCCATTTTCCTGGAATGAGAGTGGGAGGTGGTATGCCACTGTTTGGAATGCAGACTTTGAGCCAGGGGCTCCAACCACACACACACACACACACACACACACACACAGGCACCTGTCAGCCCCTAACACAGCACTTTTTCAAACTATCTGTAATGAAGGGCCAGTTTTTAAAATTTTCCAATCTGTCAGGGACCCTTATACGTGGTCCCACTGTACATGACCAACCCACATCTCACACTGTGTAAGTCTCACTGTCGAGTGCAGACATCCAAACTGTCTAGACCCAATCCAGCAACAAAAATCCCCTGATCACCCACTGGAAGGCTAAGGTGATGCCACATTGATGTAAAAATCCTAGGTACTTATTCTTGCTTTCTATACTTTTCTTATTGGGTTGAGTAATAGTTTGTGGATCCAAACCAGTTCATAGACCACCTTGTAAGAGCCCTGTGCTAAGAAATAAAGAATATCTGGTCTTTTGCTTTGGGGAGAAGCTGTCACCAGGCTTGAGAATGGTGGAGGAAACCTGGAGAGTTGAACTGCTCTGTAAATAGACTTCCAGCCCATTTCCCTTCTCAGTTTACTGCCTCATTCCTACTTTCTTTAGTACCTTGTCCCTCCCCATCCAGTGCTTTCCTGAATTGTTTGTGTCCCTTTGGTTCCTTTCTAAGGCCTCAGGTTGCATCTTCTTGCTTGGCCAAGTTGTTTATTTCCCTTGTTTTACTTGTTTCCTTTCCTATTCTCTTTGATCTTGCAATTCATACGCTTTTTTTTTTTTTTTGTACCAGGGATTGAACCCAGAAGGTTGACCACTGAACCACATCCCTATCCCTTTTTATTATTTTTTTTTTGAGAAAAGTTCTTGAGAAGTTGCTTAGGCCCCCACTAAGTTGCCTAGGGCCTCACTAAGATGCTGAGTCTGGACTGGAAATTGCGACCCTTCTGCATACATCACCATGCCCAGCACAATTTATACTTTCAAAAATCACCTTGTGAGGTGGGGAGGTATACATCTATTATCCCAGAAACTCAGAAAGATCTCAAGTTCGAGGCCAGCCTCTGCACCCTAGCAAGACCCTGTCTCAAAATAAAAAATAAAAAAGGCTGAGGATGTAGGGCACAGTGGTGCACATCTGTAATCCCAGCTACTCAGGAGGCTGAGGCAGGAGGATCATGCCTCAGCAGATTAGTGAGGCACTTAGCAACTCAGCGAGAATCTGTCTCTAAATAAAATCTTAAAAGGGGCTAGGGATGTTGCTCAGTGGTTAAGCACCTCTGGGTTTATTCCTGGTACCATAAATAAACAAAAAGGCTGGGGATGTAGTTCAGTGGTAAAGTGCCCCCAGGTTCAATTCCTGGTACCAAAAAATTTAAAAAGAGGGTGGTAGAGTACTTTGCCTAGTATGCATGAGGCCCTTTGTTCAATCCTTATCATAAAAAGAAAGAAAGAAAGAAAGAAAGAAAGAAAGAAAGAAAGAAAGAAAGAAAGAAAGAAAGAAAGGAAGGAAGGAAGGAAGGAAGGAAGGAAGAAAGAAAGAAAGGAAGGAAGAAAAACAAGAATCCTGGCTCAGTGGTAAAGTGCTTGCCTCACATGTGAGGCACTAGGTTAGATCCTCAGCACCACATAAAATAAATAAATAAAGATATTGTGTTCATCTACAAGTAAAACATAGAAAAGAAAAGAAAAAGAAAAACAAGAACCCACACAATAGAAAAAAATATGTATGCTGTATGTACCTATTGTTCTCATATTAAAGTCCTGCATAATATTAAAAAAAGAAAAAAATATGTACAGATTATACATCTGATAAGGAACTTGTATCCAAAATATACAAAGCACTCTTACAACTCTATGATAAAAAGACAACCTAATTTGGAAATGGGCGAAGAAGCTGAATAGACATTTTTCCAAAGAAGATATGCAAATGACCAATAAGCACATGGAAAGATATTCAAATTAGCCAGAAGAGAAATACAAATTTAAAACTCTTGCTGGGAGGCTATTTATATACATAAGATAATAACAAGTGTTGGTAAGGACATGGAGAAATTTAAACCTCTTCTATTACTGGTCAGAATGAAAGTAGTGCAGTCTTTTTGAAAAACAATCTGACCGTTCCTCAGTTAAACATAGAGTTACAGTATGACCCAGCAGTGTCAACACCTTTGAACTGGAAGCCTCCAGCATATCTTAACCACTGTGCTTCTCTATCATCACCATGTTAGATTGCATCTGAAGTGACACATTTTTAATTGAATAGTGTTTATTTAAGAGATTGCCACTGGCTTCATTAGGGGATGGTAATATCTTAAAATGATGATTATTGGGCTGGGGGTGCAGCTCAGGTAAAGTGCTTGCCTAATAGCATGTATGAGGCCCTGGGTTCAATCCCCAGTACTGGGGGAAAAAAATAATCAAGTAATAGGTTAAAAAGATGAATTTGACTTTGTTTTCACTTCCTTAGAAATGATTATTTTAATTTCAAAAGTTAATTTTTATTGTATTTGGAGGGTGTATACAAGGGATTGAACCCAGGAGTGCTTTACCACTCAGTTATATCCTCAGTACTTTTCATTTTGAAATAGGGTTTTACCAAGTTGCCGAGGCTGAACTTGAATTGTGATTTTCCTGCCTCAGCTTACCAAGTAGCTGGGATTACTGGCATGTGCTACCACACCCAGCTAATTTTTTCTTTTGTACTACAAATTAAACCTAGGTGCACTTTACCACTGAGTCATATCCTTAGCTCATTAAAAAAAATTTTTTTTTTAGTTGTAGATGGACACAATACCTTCATTTTATTTATTTATTTTTTATGTGGTGCTGAGGGTCAAACCCAGTGCCTCACACATGGGAGGCAAGTGCTCAGCCACTGAGCTACAACCGCAGCCCCTCTGCATACATTTTTTTTTACCCTTTGAGAATTCAAGATTGATTTTTAAAAATTATTTAAATATTCAAACAACCCTAACAAGTAGGAAAAGAAGAAAGTCAACAATTCTGCCACCTGCCTTGTCACCAATCTAATTTCAAACCATTTCTCCACTGTTTTGTTAAAGCTTCTAACTCCACTTCTCTCATAGCCTCCATCACCTTTCCCTCGTCAACTTCACTGCATGTCTCTCAGAAGGACCCAGCTCCACGGACCTCCCAAGACTCACTTTGAGGAATTCAGACCTGGGGCATTGAAGCTTGGTAGCAGCCAAGACCCCCCACTTGCTCAGGAGGTTGGAGGAAATAAAGGAGTTAATGTGACTCTCAGTGCCAATTTGCTTCTAGGCACATTCCTCAGGCAGAGGAGGGAAGAACATCAGGGCCCTGCCAGGTGGGCAAAAGAAGATGCAGCTGATGCCCGAGGTGTATAAATATTGATTTAGAGTACACTCGATAGGGGGCTTGCTGTGCCCAGAGATGAGTAATGCTAGTAATTTGTGGTGTCGGGTGAGACCCTTCAGGCACACTGAGGTAGAGGTCCAACTGAGCTGAAGAGAGGCAGAGGGTCAAGCCCCAGTGATAGGCATGGAAGTCTCTCCACACTTCTTGACTGGCAGAAGGAAGTCAGGATTCAAATCCCAAGGAAGTCATTGATATGCTGAGAAATCTTTACAAATCTGAGCCATTTATTTTTCTATAAATGAGGGTAAATAATCCCCAATTTGCAGGACATTGTAAGAGTCAGAAATCATATTATAAAGTATAACCCAGCACAATGCAAGATCAGTGCTAGGTGTCATATGTGTTTATTATAGAATCTTGGAAATTTCAGGGAAAAAAAACCTCACAAAATCAACGTAATCTATAACCTGACTCCTCAGAAGTAACCACAATGAACCTTTTTAAAAAAAAATTTTTTTTTTAGTTGTAGTTGGACACAATACCTTTGTTTTATTCATTTTTACGTGGTGCTGAGGAAAAAACCCAGGGCCTTTCACATGCTAGGCAAGCGCTCTACTGCTGAGCCATAACTCCAGCCCTACACAATGAACATTTTTCTGTTTAGTCTCTTTTGTTCCATGTACACAGCATCATAAAGTACATACTTTTGGTGTCCTCATGAAGTTATTTGACAACACCTATGTCATAATAAATCTTATATCATTTATAATAACTATCATCCAGAGATCATTGCAATTAATAGTTTGGTGGATATGAGGAATACCTCCAATGACTGATAAGAGATTTAGATTCAATTGATGATCATGATTTAAATATCTCCCTCCCTGAAGCTTCATTTCTCACAAATTCAGGCTGAGTCATGGATGAGCTATTGCTTTGAAGGTGGCCTGTGGCCAGGTCCACACCATTCAGCCCCCGGCATGGCCCAGTCTGGTAACTTGGGCAAGCCTGGGCAATCATCTCCAGGCCTTTCTGGAATCCACTGCCAGCTTCTTCTCTCTGAGCAGAGGAAGAGCAGGAATGGGATGGGGGCTTGTGTGCAAAATGGAGTTATGGACACAGACATCTGGTAAATGCAGGTTCCAGCACTCGGCCCCCTGCTGCTCAGCGGGTAATAAGTGAAAACACCTGCGATCTAGCCAAGTTTGAAAACATCCTTGGGCATACCAGAAACAGGTCATTGGCAAAGTGCTATCTGTACATATCTACATGCACATGAAATTACAGCTGTGAGCTCACACACAGCGTCAGTGTGTAGATTTTGCATGTGAGCAGCTCTTTATCTCCCCATCCATTAACGAGCTCATTTCTTGACAGGAAACTTATCTACAGATGCTTATGAAATGTGTTTATATATGAAAGATTAATTTGTCTCTGGAGGGGATCTTCCACCTACACAAATAAGCCCAGAGTTACCAAGAAAAATCCTACTGAGGAGCAGAGAAGTCTTTAATACTAGAACAGGCAACATTGTACTAGAGGGGTTAAAAAGGCAAAGGCCTTTGGGCCCTCTGGCCTCAAAGATCAAGTGTGGCAATGCCCCAATCCCTCCATGCCTGAAAATTAGGCCTTTTTAAAAATATATATTTTTAGTATAGATGAACACAATACCTTTATTTTACTTATTTATTTATTTATTTATTTGTGGTGCTAAGGATTTAACACAGTGCCTCATATGTGCTAGGTAAGCACTCTACCACTGAGCCACAACCCCAGCCCAAGGCCTCCTTTTGATATAAGCTCCTGTAGCATTTCTTTTCTTTCTTTTTTTTAATTAATTAATTTTTGGTACTGGGGATTAAACCCAGGGCAATTAACCACTGAGCCACATCTCCAGCCCTGTTTTTGTATTTTATTTAGAGAGAGGGTCTCACTGAATTGCTTAGAGGCTTGCTAAGTTGCTGAAGTTGGCTTTGAACTTGTGATTCTCCTGCCTCAGCCTCCCAAGCCGCTAGGATTACAGGCTTGTGCCACTGTGCCCAGCACTCCTGTAGCATTTCTTAATGTGAATTGTTATAGGCTCTGTGGTAGAGTGCTTGCCTTGCGTACATGAGGCCCTATATTTAAGCCCCAAAACAAAACAAAACAAAAAAAAACCCAAAAATCATAAGCAGAACCATTGTAAACCAGGGACCATCCATGTATAATATTTCTTTGGCTTGACATAATATAGATAATAGCTGCTGCCTTAATTCTTTGATTTATCTGATTGTACTTGTCTATTGCTAATACCTTTAATTATGTCAGTGTCAGACAATATCCTCACATGTCACCGTGTTCTCAGTACAACCCTTAGCATCCCAGGTCAACACAATCAAATCTCCAAGAGCCTGCCTGTAAAAGAACATAGGATAATAATAGCAAAGTTAAGATTTTACTGAGTGTTTATTATGTGTAAGCACTTTAACGCATTAACTCATTTAGTCTTCACTACAACCCTACCGGGAACTTGCTGTTACTATTTTCATCCTACACAAGAGCAAATTGAGGCACAGAAAGGTTAATTGACTTGCCTAAGGTCACACAGATGGTGGTTTTTCAATTACTTCTTGGCCTTTTGGCTAAGATCAAGTGTAGAAGTTTTTCTTGTGGAAGAAGTTTAACATGTTTGATGTTTGTTAACCATTTCTGCTGTGATTTCTACCATTTTAAGATTTGTGAACTTCTTCTCCATTATAAAGTCTCTGTGTTATCTTCTGGTTTTATTTCTTCCTCTTTGTAGCTTAAATTTTTTAGAGCAGTTTTAGGTTCACAACAAAACTGAGAGGAAGGTACAGAGGTTTCCCAAAGACCTCCTGCTTCTATTATTGCATAGCCTCCCCCTGCTATCGACACCTGTCGCAAGAATGGTATGTTTGTTACAATTGGTGACTCCACAATGATAGATCATTATCACATAAACTCCATAGTTTACATTTCACTCTTGGTGTTGCATGTTTCCATGGATTTGGACAAACTCATAATGACATGTAGAGGAGTTTACTGCCCTCAAAGTCCTTTGTGCTCTGCCGACTCATCCTGTCTTTCCTTCCCAATTCCTGACAACCACTGATCTTTTTACTGTGTCTATAATTTTGCCCTTTCCAGAAAATCTTACAGCTTGAACTGTACAATATGTAACATATTCAGATTGACTTCTTTTACTAGGTAATATGCATTTAAGATTCCTCCATTCCTTTTTAAAAAATATTTATTTACCTTTCTTTTTAGCTGTAGTTGAACACAACATCTTTATTTTATTTATTTATGTTTACGTGGTGCTGAGGATTGAACCCAGAGCCTCCCACATCCAAGGGGAGCGCTCTACTGCTGAGCCACAACCCCAGCCCCTCCCTCCATTCCTTTTAACGATTCACTAGCTCATTTCTTTTTTAGCACTAAATAATATAACACTGTCTGGATTATCACAGTTTATTTATACATTTACCTCCTGAAGCAACTTGATTGTTTCTAAGTTTTGGCAATTAAATATAAAACTTCTATAAATATCTACGGGCAGGTTTTTGTGTGGACCTAAGTTTTTGGTTCTTATGGGAAAATATCAAGAAGCACAATTGCTGGATCATATGCTAAGAGTATGTTTACTTTTGTAAGAATCTGCCAAACTATCTTCCAAAGTGGCTGTACCATTTTTGCTTTCCCCAATGAATAGAGTTCCTATCATCCCATATCCTCACCAGCATTTGGTGTTTCAGTGATCTGGATTTTGGCCAGTCTAATCAAATTGTTGTTTTAATTTGCATTTCCCTGATGACATATTATATGGAACATCTTTTCACATGCATACTTGTCATATGTATATCTTTTTGGTGATGTATCTGAGGATTTTTTTTTTGTTGTTTTCTTTCTTCCTGTTTCCCAGGCTGGCCTCCAGCTCCTGGGCTCAAGGGATTCTCCTGCCTCAGCCTCCCCAATAGTAAGGACGACAGGCATGCACCACTATACCAAGTTTTGTCTGTGAAGGTCTTTAGTCTATGTTTTAATCGGGTTGTTTGTTTTCCTATTGCTATCCTAAGAGTTATTGATAGACTTTGAATAATAGTCCTTTATTGGAAACATCCTCTGGAATGTTTTCTCCAAGTCTATAGTTTGTCTTCTCATTCTCTTTTGCAAAGCAGAAGTTTTTCATTTTAATGAAGAACAACTGTTTTAGTCAGCTTTTCCTGCTGCTGTGAATAAAAGACCTGACAAGAAGAATTTTAGAGGAGGAAAAATTAGGGGCTCACAGTTTCAGAAGTTTCAGTCCATAGACTCCATTCCTCAGGGCTCGAGGGGAGGCAGAACATCATGGAGAAAGAGTATGGCAGAGGGAAGCAGCTTCCATGATGATAAGGAAGCAGAGAGACAAAGACTCCACTCACCAAATACAAAATACATACCCCAGAGGAGCACCCCCAAGGCCCTACCCCCTCCAGCCACACTCTACCTTCAGTTAACACTCAGTTACTCCCATCAGGAGCTTAATTTACTGATTGGGTTAAAGCTCTCATAACCCAATTATTTCACCTCTGAATGTTCTTGCATTGTCTCACACGTGAGGTTTTGGGGGACACCTCACGTCCCAAACCATAAAAACAACTTATCCATAATTTTCTTCATGAATCATGCCTTTGGTGTTGTATCTAAAAAGTCATCATCACCATACCCCAGGTCATCTGGGGTTTTTACTATGTTATCTTGTAAGAGTTTTGGAGTTCTCTGGTAGGGGTGGGTGGATTGTTTGTTTATACTGGAAGTTGAACTTAAGGGTGCTTTACCCCGAGCAACATCCCTCAGCACTTTATATCTTTTATTTTGAGACAGGGTCTCACCAATTACAGAGTGTCTCTGTAAATTGCTGAGGCTGACCTTGACCTTGTAATCCATCTGCCTCAGCCTCCTGAATTTTAGGGATTACAGATGTGTGCCACCATACTCAGTTTATAGTTTAATGTTTTATATGTAGGTCTATGACCCATTTTGAGTTAATTTTTTTATGTTTTTTTTTCACATTTATTTTATTTATTTATTTTATGTGGTGCTAAGGATTGAACCCAGTGCCTCGAGTGAGCTGGGTGAGCGCTCTACTGCTGAGCCCCAGCCCTAGCCCCTTGAGTTAATTTTTGTGAAGGGTGTTCTGTGCAAAGATTCATTCTTTTGCATATGGTTACCTAGTTTGGGCAACATTTGTTGAAAAGACTGCTTTGCTTCATTGTTTTTATTGTCATTGCTCTCTTTTGTCAAAGATCAGTTAGGTGTAGTTCTATAAATCTGTTTCTGGACTTTCTATCTTGTTCCATTGATCTATTTGTCCATATTTTTGCCAATATCAATCTCTTTTTTAATCTTTAAATTGCATTTTTATTTGTTCTTTTTAGTATGCCACTGTCTTGCTTAGTGTAATTTAATAGTAGAAGTTGGATAGTATCAGTTCTCCAACTTTGTTCTTCAGTTTCTATCCTGGGGTCCTTTTAAAGCTTCTCCATATAAATTTTAGAATCAGTTTGTTGACATCCACAAAATAACTCATGAGATTTTGATTGGAATTGCATTGAATCATTGGTCAGGTTGGGAAGAACTGACATCTTGATAAATTTGAGTTTTCCTATCTATGAACATAGCTTATCTCTCCATTATTTTAGTTTTTTGATTTCTTTCATCAGAGTTTTATATTTTTCCATATGTAGATTATAAACATATTTTTGTAAATTTATACCTAAGTATTTAATTTTGTGAGCACTAATATAAATGGTATTGTGTTTTTAATTCCTAATTGTTTATCAGTGTACAGGAAAATGATTGACTTATATCTATTAATTTTGTATCCTGCAACTTTGTCATAATCATTTGTTAGTTCTGAGTATTTTTAAACAATCATGTTAACTGTGAAGAAACATTCTTCCTTTCAATCTGCATATCTTTTCTTATCCTCCTCTTCATATTTCTCTTCTCCTTCTCCTTCTCCTTCTCCTTCTCCTTCTCCTTCTCCTTCTCCTTCTCCTTCTCCTTCTTCTTCTTCTTCTTCTTCTTGATTGATGCCAGGGATACTCTACCACTGAGCTACATCCCCAGCCCTTTTTAAAAAATAATTTTCAAAATTTTGAGACATGGTCTTACTAAGTTGCTGAGTTTGTCCTCAAATCTTCCTGACTTAGCTTCTAGAGTAGCTGGGATTATAGGCATGCACCCCATAGTCTCACATCTTACTATCGAAGAACTTGAAATGTGGTTAGAGTAAATGACAATCTGAATTTTAAATGTTTATTTCACATTTTCTTTGACTCTCCCAAAAAAACCCTGTGTCAATTTGTGATCAATTTCCAGTCCCAGGGGCTGGGGTTGTGGCTCAGAGGTAGAGCACTGGTACCATGTGTGAGGCACTGGGTTTGATCCTCAGCACCACATAAAAATAAAATGAAGATATTATGTCCACCTATAAGTAAAAAATAAATACATAAATTTTAAAAAAATTCCAATCTCACTCCTACCCTAGGTAGTTCTAATATTGTGTCTCAATAGATTTGCCCATTCTGGACATTTCACAAAAATGGAATGATATAATTTTTAGTCTTTTGTAGCTTCTTTCACTTAAAGTTTTTAGGTTCACTCATAAGGTAGTATGTATCAAAACTTCATTCATTTTTATGGTTGAGGACTGGGGATATAATATAGCTCAGTGACAGAGCACTTGACTTTCTTAGCAAGAGTAAGGCCCTGAGTTCAATCTCCAGTACTAAATACACACACACACACACACACACACACAATTGAATGGTATATTGTATGGTTGTATGAGTTTGTATGTCACATTTAATTATCCATTCACTGGTTGATGGGCATTTTGATTGTTTTGATTTTATTTGGCTTTGATTAATTTTTTTTAAAGAGAGAGAGAGAATTTTAATATTTATTTTTTAGTTTTTGGCGGACACAACATCTTTGTTTGTATGTGGTGCTGAGGATCGAACCTGGGCAGCACACATGCCAGGCAAGCGCACTACTGCTTGAGCCACATCCCCAGCCCCACAGCTTCAATTAATTTTAATTCAAATGCTAAAGCAGATAAAATATTTTTCCTTTAGTCACAGCTTCATTTTTTTGGTAGGTCTACATTTCTCCTTAATCTTTGAAAATTTAGGATATGAATAGAGAAATTAAATATAAATATTCAAATATAAAATATACACTGAATTCTAAAGACTTAGAATTATTAATAGACTTAAAGAAATAGATGATTAGCCAGGTGCAGTGGTGCACACCTTTAATCTCAGTGACTTGGGAGGCTGAAACAGGAGGATCTCGAATTCAAAGCTAGCCTCAGCAAAAGCAAGACACTAAGCAACTCAATGAGTCTCTAAATAAAATACAAAACAGGGCTGGGGATATGGTTCAGTGGTTGAGTGCCCCTGAGTTCAATCCTTAGTACAAAAAAAAAAAGAAAAGAAAAGAAATAGAAAATTAAAGGATGAATAAAAAACAGAAAATACCAAAATCAATTTGAAAAACAAAATAGAACTTCTAGAAATGAGAAAAAGCACTAACAACTCTATAATCATTTCAAATAACAAGGTAGACAGCCAGAAGAGATAAATAAAGAATTGGTAGACAACCAGGCATGGTGATGCATGTCTGTAATCCCAGCTACTCTAGAGGCTGAGGCAGGAAGATTGCAGGTTCCAGTCCAGCATGGACAATTTAGCTGTACCCTGTCTCGTAAAAAGGGGCCAGGCACGGTGGTGCATGCCTGCAATTCCAGCAGCTTGGGAGGCTAAGGCAGGGCGATCGTGAATACAAAGCTGGCCTCAGCAATTTACTATGGCCCTAAGCAACTCAGTGAGACCCTGTCTCTAAATAAAATACAAAATAGGGCTGGGGATGTGGCTCAGTGGCTGAGTACCCCAAGTTCAATCCTGGTATAAATAGATAAACAAACAAACAAATAAATAGATAAATAAATAAAAAAGTTTGGGGAATATAGTTAAGTTGTGGAGCACTTGCCTCCCATGCCCAAGGCCTGGGCTCAATAACCAGTACTGGGGGGGGGGGGGGGAAGAATCAGTAGAGAGCATGGAAGAAAAAATTGAGAATGCAACATAGATAGACAACATGATGGAAAATAAGTTAAAAGATATAAAGGGGGGCTGGGTGTGTAGCTCAGTGGTAGAGTGCTTGTCTAGTAGGCACATCCCCAGCAGTGACAGAAGAAACAAAAAGATATTGAGAATAAAAGGTCCAATTGGTATCTAATCAGAGTTCTAGAAAGAGACAATAGAGATGATGCTAGAGAGGTAATATTTGAAAAATTAATACTGAAAACTTTCAGAGTTTATAAAATATGCCAATATTCAAATTTAGAAGTCCAACAAATCCATCAAGGAAGAAAAGGAGGAGGAACAAACCTGTTTTTTTAAACATATTGAGCTTAGATATAGTGAAGCTAAGAACATCAAAAACGAAGAGATTTAAGAAGCATCCAGAGGAAAAAAAAGACTGACAATTCAATAGCAAAAGTAAAAGCCAAGTGACAATAGAATAAATTTCTTAAATTATTTTTTATTGCATATGCATAAGAAAACATCTGTAATGTAGAATTATATATTCAGTGGGACTACCTTTTTAGAGAATGTCAAATAAAGAAATATTCATATAATCAAATACTATGCCTATAATCCCAGCTACGTGGGTGGCTGAGACATGAGACTTGCAAGTTCAATGCCAGCCTCAGCAATTTAGTAAGACTGTGTCTCAACAAACAAAAACATAAAAAGAACAGGGGATGTAGCTTAGTGGCAGGGTACTTGCCTAGCATGTGTGTGAGGTACTCTGGGCTCATTCTCAGTACCAAAAGGGAAAAAAAAAATCAACACTGAGAAACAACCAGATATTATGTGCATCCTATGATAAAAATCACCTATGAAGTCTTCTCCCCCACAAAATTTGCCCAGAATCAGAATCCACCTCTAGCTATAATTACCTGTTTATAGGAAATCCAGAGGACAGAAAAAGAATGAACAGAATCTAGACTATGTATCAGCTAGGTATCACTGTGTAGCAAATTACCACAAAGTTTAATAGCTTGAAATAATAATAAACATTTGTTCTGAGAATTTCTGTGGGTTAGAGATTCAGGAGTCAGTTAGCTGGGCTATTGTTCCTTGAAGGCATCATGAGATTGTATTTATGATGTCATACAGGCCTGCATCATCTAAAGGCTTGGCAGGAGCTAGAAGATGCACGTTCTAGATGCTCACTCAAGACTGATATAGTGAAGTACATCTGCAGTCCAAGTGGCTCAGGAAGCTAAAGCAGGGGATCTCTTGAGCCCAGGAACTCAAAGAAGTCTTGGCAACATAGCTAGACCCTGTATCAAAAAGCAAACAATCAGCTAGGTGGTGCATGCTTGTAATCCCAGCAATTCAGGATGTTATGTCAAGAGGATCACAAATTCATGTCCAGCCTAGGCAACTTAATGAGACCCTATCTCCAAATAAAATTTTAGAAGGGCTGGGGACAGCCGGATTCAGTGCCATACACCTGTAATTCCTGAGACTTGGGAGGCTGAGGCAAGAGGATCACAAGTTCAAGGCCAGTCTCTGCAATTTAGTAAGACCCTCCTTCAAAAGTGAAAAATAAAGAGGGATGGAGACATAGCTCAGCAGTAGAGAATCCCTGTGTTTAATCTCCAGTACTGCAAAGAACAAGCAAATAAAAGAAAAAGATGGCTCACTCATGGCTGGAAAGTCAGTGCTTCTAGTTCATGCCTCAGTTCTTGCCCCATAGATCTTTCTATAAGATGCCTGGATACTGGTGATATGGCTGTTGGCTTCCTCTAGAGCAAGTAATTCAAAAGAGAGCAAAATGGAAACCACAATGTCTTTTATGACCTAGCCCTGGAAATCACACACCTCTGTTGCTGCATCCTTCTGTGAGTTGCTCGGGTCGCTTTATGCAGCGTGGGTGGGGATAACATAATATATGAATACCAGGAGGCAAAGGTTACTGGGGGTCACCTTGCAGGAGTACTACCACACTGAGTGACTCTACAGGACATGTGAGTTGCTTTGTTCCAAAAAATAGATTTTAAGGAAAAAATAAAAGAAAGAATGGGTTGGGGCTGTAGCTCAATGGCAGAGTGTTTGCCTGGCACATGTAAGGCACTGGATTTAATTCTCAGCACTGTGTATAAATAAATAAAATAAAGGTTCATCAACAACTAAAAATATATTAAAATAAATATACAGAAGAAAGGAGGAGAACCTATAGATTAAATGAAATTGAGACATTGACCAATTGCAATGTGGGTAAATGGAGAAATTTGAACACTGACTGGATATTTGATGAGATTAAGCAATTAGTATGAACATTTTTTAGGAGTAATAATAGTATTGGATAATATTATTTTCTAAAAGTCTGCACTCCCTCCCCTTTAAGTGTGAGTTGGACTTAGTGATATCCTTCCCCAAAATTAAGAGCATGGAGAGGTGAAGAAATATGGTGTCTTAGTGTGTTTTGTGTTGCTATTACAAAATACCCAAGGTTGGGTACTTTACAAAGAAATTGATTTAGCCAGGCATGTCTATAATCTCAGTAACTCAGGAGGATAAAGCAGGAGGATTACAAGTTTGAGGCCAGCCTCAACAAGTTAACAAGACTCTGTCTCAAAATTTTTTTAAAAGGAGATGGGTGAGTGGCTAGGGATACAGCTCAGTGGTAGAATTCTCCTGTGTTCAATCCCCAGTTCTGTGCGGGGGGTGGGGGGGCATAGGTTTATTTACATTCTAGTTGTGGAGGTACAAGAGTATGGCATCAGCATCTGCTTCTGGTGGGGGTCTCAGGGCAGATAGTGTCAAACTGGGGGAAAGCATGTGTGTGTATGTGTGTGTTGGGGGGCACATGGCAAGAGAAGAGCAAGAGGTAAGGGAGGGGCCAAGCTTGATCTATCATGCCAACCTGCTTTCTCAGGGACCAGTTTGCTCCAGTGAGGCCCAACCCACTTCACAGGATAAGCATTAGTCCCTTCACAAGGGTAGCCATGACCCAATCCCCTCATAGAAGGTCCTACCTCTTAAAAGCTCCACCACATTTCAATAGTGTTGCAGTGCAGAGTTAAGATTCAACATGAGTTTCGGTGCAGATAAAACCCATCCAAACCATAGGGCCTGAAAACATGTCCTTAGCCAAGTGATCAAAGCCTTGCCAGTAATAAGTCTGGTTGATGGCATGTATCCCCTAATATGCTACTCTGAGGAGGACACTTCACCTCTGGGGTATTAGTTGCCAAAACCCATAATTCCCAGTCTAATCATGATCAAAACAATAGACAAATCTAAATTAAGGGACGGTCTGTAAAATACTGGACCAGTACTCTTCAAAAATGTAGGTCATGCCAGGCACAGTGGCGTGGGACTATAATCCCAGGGACTAGGGAGGCTGAGGCAGGAGGATCACGAGTTCAAAGCCAGCCTCAGTAAAAGCAAGGCACTAAGCAACTCAGTGAGACCCTATATATTTTAAATAAAATATAAAATAGAGTTGGGAATGTGACTCAGTGGTCGAGTGCCTCTGAGTTCAATCCCTGGTACCCCCCCCCCAAAAAATTAAGTTCATGAAAAGCAAAGACTAAGAAATTGTAACAGACCAGAAAAAGACTAAGAAGACATGACAACTAAGCACCATATCCTGGATTGAATTCTTGAATTTAAAAAAAAAAAGGGCACTAGGGTTGGGGTGTAGCTCAGTGGTACAGCACTTGCCTAGCATGTGTGAGGCACTGGGTTCGATCCTCAGCACCACATAAAAATAAACAAACAAACAAACAAAAAACACGTATTCTGTCCATCTACAATTACAAAAAAATGTTAATGTATTAGCAAAAAAAATCTAGTGAAATTCAAATAAGGCCTGGAATTTAATTAATATTTTTTTAAAGTATATCAACAAAATTGATTTGGTGTGTGTGGGGGGGGGTATTGGGGATTGAACTCAAGGGTACTCAACCACTGAGCCACATCCCCAGTCCTATTTTATACTTTATTTAGAGACAGGATCTCACTGAGTTGTTTAGCGCCTCACCGTTGCTGAGGCTAGCTTTGAACCTACGATATTCCTACCTCAGCCTCCAGTGCAGCTGGGATTACAGGCTTGCACCACCATGCCCGGTTAAAATTGATCTTTTTTAGAGCTTAAAAAACCATGGGCCAGGTCTGGCACTGTGATGCATGCCTGTAATCACAGCAGCTTGGGAAACTGAGGCAGGAGGATCACAAGTTCAAAGCCAGCCTCAGCAACAGCAAAGTGCTAAACAACTCAGTGAGACCCTGTTTCTAAATAAAATACCAAAAAAGGGCTGGGGATGTGGCTCCGTGGTATAGTGCCCCTGTGTTCAATCTCCAGTACCACAAAAGCAAAACAAAACAAATACAAACAGACCCGAGCTGGTTCAGTGGCAGCTGCTTGGAAAGAGGGAGAAAAATCATTTGACCCCAGAATCAAGGCCAATCTAGGCAACATAGTTAGATCACAGTCACCAAAAAGAAAGAAAGAAAGAAACTGTGACCCTTCCAAGTACTACCTCCCTTTATGTCTGGGCCTAAGCAGTTAGTTATCCTATTTCTTATATATTTCGAATATCATTCTCCTTTTGTTCAACACCATTGTGTTGGATATTCCTAAGAATATATGACGGTGGTTCAACAGTGGATACCTCCAGCAATGATGATACTCCCTTGTATTTAGCAGGCACTGACTGTTCTCTATGGATTGTCTCTTTTTATCATCATAGCAACCAAGTGAGGGAAGGATCATCATTCTCCCCCACTTTGCAGACGAGAAAACTGAGGCTCAGACAACTTAACTTGTCCAAGGTCACCTACCTAGCAAGTATTAAAGCCATATTTACCTCTGACTTCAGAGTCCACACTTTTCATCTGTTATAGCTTAATCAAGAGTCCACCAAGATTGCAAACAAGATATGTATTTGCAAGCTGGTAGCTGGGTTTCTAGGTCTTTAGGTTTAAGGAACAGTTGGAGGAGTAAACAGAATGGAAGGAGCAAGGGGTTTGATGGTCTGTTAAACAAGTGGGGGCAAGGGACTCTCTTTGCTCAAAATTGACCAGTTTTTCTACATACCATACCTATCACCAGCCTGTTCACTCTTTCAGAAGGCAATCCTGTTAAAATGAGGCCTGGACCTTGAGCAATATCTCAGAAGAAACACCCACAGCCCTTAGTTAGAGGCAGCTCCTAGGAAGCCTCAGGCCGACTGCACAATGAGATCAGATGGGCAGGGAGACCTGAAGCAAGAAGCCAGCCTGGTGACACAGTGACATCTGTCCATTGCAGAAACTGTCCCTCCAGGGACTCAGAGCTCAACCAAAAGGCCTCTGGTTGTAAAACCAACTCTATGGAGTCCAATAGCATTGCCCTTCCAGAAACTTCTGCAATTAGAATCACCCCCAACCCTCTGAACAAAATAGCAGATAAGTCAGCATATGGTCTTGGGCAGTAGGATCTTGGCAGCAGTGGGTCAAGAAAGTCTGCAACCCAGGACTGGTGACAGGTGTGGAATAGGCATGTGAATGTGACAGGGCTATTTTTGCGCCAGCTGAATGCTGTCAGCAAGGAGGAGGTGATAGCAAATGCTGTAGGGTATTGTAACATCCAGACTCAGAGCCACTTGAACCCAGTTGAAGGCTGGGGCCCCAACGACCTTGGTTCATAGAAATCATGTGAAGGGGAGGGGCTTTAATAGCCCTGAATCTGGAGACAAGAGCCAGAGAACTAAGGGACCATGGTACCACTTTTTTTTTTAATACCTTTATATTTATTTATTTATTTGGGGGGTACCAGGCATTGAACTCAGAGGCACTCGACCACTGAGCCACATCCCCAGCCCTATTTTGTATTTTATTATAGACAGGGTCTCACTGAGTTGCTTAGCACCTCACTAAATTGCTGAGTCTGGCTTTGATCTCGTGATCCTCCTGCCTCAGCCTCCCAAGCTAATGGGATTACAGGCATGCGCCACCTCGCCTTTTATTTATTTATTTATTTATTTATTTATTTTTATGTGTGCCTCTCACATGCTAGGTGAGTGCTCTACCACTGAGCCGCAACCCCAGTCCCCAATGGCACCACTTTAAAAAAGAAGGATCACTCATGATCTTTTTTCTCTCCCATCTCCTATGATCCTGATTGTAAATGGTATTGTCCTGGATTCTGTTCAGCATTGAGCACTAGTCAGAAGAAGCCCCTGGCAGGCTTCCAGATGCTGTGGCACAGTGGTCAGTGGACTGTTGTACTTGGCACCAGGCAAAGGTGCCCATGCATAAAGATGATCAAAGGTGCCCCTTGTTTACACAAGAGCTGCGTTCCTGGAAAGTTGTTCATAAATTGAATCTTATTGCCTGCAATGCAGAGGGTGAGATTATAGACTGGAATGCACAGAGGTTGTCACCCAACCAGAAAAATAGGGTGTCATTCTTTAACCCTCCCTTTCCCACACCCTCAGCACCCAGTCATTCACTAGTCCTGCCAGTTCTACTCCCTTGACATCTCTCTGGGAGGCCCCATGTCCACACTACCACGCCTGCTGTGTTTCAATACAATAGCTACTTACAATGGCATTTACACGGATGAGTTACGTCATCTGGAGATGACTTAAAACATATAAAAGATTAGGTAGGTTACATGCAAATACTACATAGAGCATTTTATATAAGAGAATGGAGGCCTGGGGATGTGGCTCAGTGATCATGGGCTTGCTTAGCATGTGCTAAGGTTTGGGGTGGATCCTCAGCACCACAAACAGAAAAAAAAATATGTATATAATAAGAG